AGGCTTGATTACAATCTCACCTCGCTCCCCGGTCAGTTCCTTCACGCATTTCACTGCCATCTTCACTTGTTCATCGTCCGCAACGTCCAACTGTAACACATGCAATCTACCAGAACCCATTGTTTCTAACTCCACAGCGCCATCACCGCCGTCGTCTTTGAAAAGGCAGCCTGCAAATACTTCAAACCCGAGCGAGTAGAAATGTTTAGCCATGGAGAGCCCAAACCCCCGATCACATCCGGTAACTAGGACGGCTTTGTTCCGAGGATCGACTCGCTTCTCTGGTCTAGAGAAAAGTAACATGGCCCCGCCGATAATGATCACTGGCAAGCATATTAAGCAGCAATCGTCTCTGGTGAGCAGAGCTACGAACGAGAAAGCAATCAGGAGAAAACCCCCGAACAACATCGACGCCATTTTCGATAGCAGCGAGAGTGAGACGTGAAATGAAGGATGCACAATTTAATCCGTTGATTTTATGTGGTTAACCATTCGAAATCTTTGGAAATGTGTGACTAGTACAATGTTTTGTTCGTGGTATTACCTGTACATTATTACCTGTACATTATTACCTGATAGAGTGAATTAAAATGTACAATATCGAGTTGTATCCTTGACTGCGACAGTGGTTTACTGCTATTATATCTATTTCCTTTCAAACGTAAACAAAACGCATTAAAACCGTGTACAAATATGTTCATTAAAATAGTAAATTTGCATAACAGGTTGAATCTTAAAAGATTAGATCAGTCGGGGTGGGTTGTATACAGCGTTGCTGTCAACCCATCAGTGTTGTAGGCAAGCTATCAGAGTGCAAGGGTAAATCACAGAGCAGCGGCCCAGCTACCCTAAAACGCTTCGGGGAGAACAAAACAATGTGCATGAGAGAGCTCCTGTAATGGGAATTTTGTGCATTAGGACTTTCAGACAGATATGACTAATTTGCATGAATTAATAATTCATTAACATTGCCAAGGGATGTACATGAAAGAATTCCTGAAGTATGTATATAATGGGGATTTTGTGCAACAGGATTGGTAGACAGATATGACTCATTTGCATGAATTAATAATTCATTAACATTGCCAAGGGATGTACATTGAAAGAATTCCTGAAGTATGTATATAATGGGGATTTTGTGC